TACACCCTCCTTCCCAACAGACACTCATTAGTGGTCATGACATGCTCCTTTACCCTAATAAACATGACTTCAGCCTCTGCTGTCATTTTGTTTTTCTGGGGTTGTGGGAGGACAGAATTTCTGGATGCCCCCTTCCCAATGTCAACGTCAACAATCCAGCACAAGGATGTCAGGGGTGTAGCAGAGATTTTATTTCTCCAGTACATGGTTACCCTCCCCCCAGGGGCCTTGTGGGGAGGAGCCTGTGGGCTAAGGGGCTTGCTGTGAGAGTAAGGCACTTGAGGCGGGGGTGAAGGGCCAGCTGGGGGTGACTCAGTTAAGCTGGTCCTCATATTGCTTGCGGAAACAATCGCCAGCTGGGAAGAAATCCCAGCATCTCTCTTGGTACATCTTCCACACGTATGACTCCTAGAGTTGGGGGATAGGGAAGAGAAGGTTGGTCACATCTTCAAACACTTGATATTGATAAGAGCTTCTTACTGATACCTGCTGACTGATTTTATATTAAAACTCTCCATGTCCTGCCATTAACACCCCCTTACCTGACCCGTGTGTTCTGTCTCATCCTTGTTTATCAGGTACATCAGGAAAAACCTGGGGACGGGAGTGCAGCAGTAGACAGGTCAGGCGCATCCTTACCTTCTCCTGATTAGCTGGCTGGGAATCCACTCACATGGACACCATACCCACTTCCCTAACTGGTCAAGGCCAGTATCCCACCCCTGACAGTCAGTGACCACGCCCCATCCTTCTCATTGGCCAGTGGGCCCACACTCACATGTAATTGGCCAGGTTGTGCTCCTCAAGTGTGTGAGTCTCAAACCCATGGGGTGTGGTATCAAAGTAATCACTGCCAATGCCACAGATGAAGCACTTGGTCTGTGGGTGGTGAGAGACAGAGTCGAGGCACAATCAACTTTCCAGGGTCCTATAATCCCTTTGGGTCGCCCTCAGTCAAGACCTACCTCCATATCTTCCTTCACTTGTTCTTGCTGGTCTCGGAGTTCACCAAAAGCATCAATGATCAGACCTGGAAGGCAGGGCGCAAGTCAGTGCCCAACCTCTGACCCAGTTCTGGCTACCCACCTCTGAATCACCCATTTCCTGTCTCCCTAATCTCACCCTGCTTCCTAAAAATACTAACACCTAGTGTTTATTGAGCACTTATGAGCCAGACACTTAACACCTATGAACTGACTTAATTCTCACAACAATATGAGCGTCTTATCATTAATATCTCCATTTTACAAATGGAGAAACCGATGTCCAGAGCGGTGACTTGCCCCTAATCTGAAGGTAAAAAGAGGCAGAGCCAGGACATGGACCCAAGCAGATGGATTCTGGGCTGGGCACTCAAAGGAGCTAGTCTGCTTTAGGCACCGGGCCCCACTCCCACAACCCCTACCAGCACTGACCCTGGATGATGGCCAGCAGGATGACGATGACGAAGAAGAAGAAGGTGATGTCGAAGACCACTCGGTACAGCTCGTATTCATCACCTGCTGGGTCCTCAATCTCATCCCCGATGCCCCCGCCAGCGCGGACACCCACATACATGTGAAACAAGTAGCACTGCGGGGAGAGCGTGAGAAGCACATGGGTCACACATCTGATCGTTCAGCATTCACCGAGTACCTACACAGTCCTGGGCCAGTGGGGCAGGAGTCACGGCAACGACTGAGACAACCCTGGACTCTGCCCTCACAGGGCTCACAAACATGCCACCAGATAGTGACAGCCAAGAAATGGTCTGGGCTATGATGGGGAAGCACAGGAGGAGGAGTCAGGGCTGGGATGAGGGAGACACACTGTGATCCGAGGAGACAGGGAAGCACAGGAAGCTTTGAAACTTGAAAGCCTGGGTGAGCAGGTGCAGCTGCCTGGATGAGGGGCTTATGTGAGCTGGGACATGAAGCAGGTGTTAGGTGGGAGACAGTGTTCCAGGCAGAGAAAACCACATGTGCTACGTCACCACTGGGGGAGAAAGGATATATTTTGCTCCTGTGAGGAACTGAAAGAGTGAATGTTCAGTGAGGCTAGAAAATAGAGATCCCGTGAGCAAGAGCAGGGAGAGAGATGAGGCTCAATCAATGATCAGGGAGGGCTTCCTGTAGGAGGCAGCATTTAAGTGGAAAAAATAGGTGTTAAGTGAAGAGGTTGTGTGCCCATAGGGCCAGGGTGGGAGGCAGCGAGAACACCAGAAGCAAGAAGCTTGGGTTGGGAGAAAACACATGGTCTTAGGGGAAGTGAAAGAAGGACCAGGCAGCCAGAGAGCAAAAGGCAAGAAAGACTGTGGTTAGACTCAGGCAACACTAGCCTTTCCCTGGCTTGGTAAGCCATAGCGAGAGGATTTGGTTTCATCCACCTGGCATTAGAAAGCCACCAGAAGATTCTGTGCAGAACCGGGAACATCATCTGTAGACCTTGGGAGAGACTTCACACTTGTTATTTCTGTGTCCCCAGGAAGTGAGAGGACCTAGTTGTCTTGGGTAAAAGCTAAGGCCAGTGACTGATGGGAACAAGGCTATGAGTGTTAAGACGGGGTCTGGTGGGGTCTCCAATGTCAGGGTGAGGAGCTGGACTGTGTCCTGAGAGCATGGCGCCAGATTATCTCAGACAAAAGCCTGAGATGATTCTTTCAACTGTGCCCCATGCCTCTGGTAGATTAAACTCAATTTAGGTTATAACCACCATTATTATAATAGGAGAGAAAACAGAAATCGGTGGCATGCTGGTACTTTGGTGAAACTTCTAATTGTAGATAATGATGGCAGTAGCTAACATTTATGTAATCCGTCACACACGCCAGGCACTATTCTCAGATATTTAAATCTACGATTGTCACAGAGCACCACTGGGTCCTAAAAGCAACCCTAGGCTGTAGATACTGTTACTGTATATTCTCATTTGTCAGGTGGGGACCCCAGAGCATGGGGAGGTTGAGTAGCTTGCCCACGATCACATGGCTTGGAACACTTTGCCTGAGTGCCTTTCCAATAAGAAAAGTTATAAAACTCAAATAATAGTACACCAGAAGTTGACACCTACTGAGTATTGATTGTGTGCCCAGTACTATTCAAAGTACCTCACAAGGATTAGCTCACTGAACCCTCACAATGAATCTACAAGGCAGGGCCCATTTTATTATTAAACCCCTTTACAGAGGGGAAAACTAAAAGTCAGGGAAGGTTAAGTCACTGGCCCAAGAGCGTTGGAGGGAGGGGCTTACTGTCATCATGTCATCGCACTTCATGTCGGGCTCGTCCTCATCCTCGCTCTTGTTGTAGAACTTGCGGAAGAAGTTGAAGGCCACCACAGTGTACAGGTAAACCACCACTGCCAGCAGGCCGACCGTCATCACCAGCTGGGGACAGGCAGGGCAAGTCAGCGCCATGCTCAGCTTGCCTCTCCCCATGCCCAGCCATCCCCACTCTCACTTAGGTTCAGCCCATGTGCCCCACTCCCCGGGTCCTACTACCCACACCTGCCCTGGCTTGGTGGCCTAGCCTTGCCCCTCATTCCTCCACCCCTACAGGCTGCTAAACTGGTCCCTGCCAGGCTCACACGCCTCCTTCAGGTCCTCTCCACACCTGTTTCCCATTGTGGGTGACGGAGGAGAGGATGGTGCGCAGGGTCTTGACTCCCATGGCAATATCCAGGAGGTGGGCAGCAAAGAAGAAGTTGTTGTAGTGTCCCAGGAGGGACATCACCATGTACCAGCCCAGGTACAGGAAAGACTGTGGGCACACAGGATCAGGGGTCAGGGAGCATGCAGGGATTCGTGGGGAGCACTCTGGGAAACAGAACACCCAGGGGGCCTGGGGACATTTAAGAGGGTTGGGAGTGTTCTGGGGGGTCAGGTGCCATCTCTAGCTGGGCGGGGGCGGGGGGGGGCGCTTGGAGGTTCAGGAGCACTCTGGGTGAGGAGCCATCCCGGGGAAAGTTGGAGATCCCTCTGCAGAAAGATATAGTCTGGAAATTAAACAGCCTCTGGGTGACAAGGAGCCTTGGGAATGTCGGAGGTTATCCTAGGATCAGAGGTGCGCAGGGGCTCAGGAGTCGGTCCCTGGGCAGGAATACCTAGGGGTGGAGCCCCCAATGCTACTAGGGCAGGTCCCTCCCCTGCTACTGCCCCTCCTTACATTGTCTGTAAAGATGACCCCAAACTTCCAGATCTGGTACTTGATGTCAATGGACATGAGCCTATGCAGGTGGAGAGAAGAGGGATGGCTAGATGCCTGAGGGTCCGCCCCTGGCCACCCCCCTGCGTACCCCAGGCCTGCGTGGGGCTATCCCAGGCTCACCAGGTAAGCAGCCCCGGTGGTGGTTCAGGCTTGCGTTCATGGTGGACTGTGATCTCCAGCGAGGCCAGATCCATGCCCAGCAGTTCGGCGATTCGCTCCCGCCCATAGATGTCCCCGTGCTTGTCCAGGACCTGCACAGAGGAATGTGGGGCCATGCAGACACAGGTGGAGTGGGGGAGGGCCTTGGCTGGCACAGGGAATTCTGGGGACACTCAGAACTTTGTGTGGTAAATTGGGGGTACATTTTTCTAGGGAGAAGGGCCAGAGTTTTCTTTGTATCCTCAGGGGGAGAGTCCAATAGTAATAAAAGCCAGTTGATTCATTAACCAAAGTAAATAGGATAATTTTTTAAAAGATATACAGTATTTTATTTTATTTTAAATATATTTTTATTGATTTCAGAGAGGAAGGGAGTGGGAGAGAGAAATAGAAACATCAATGATGAGAGAGAATCATTGACTGGCTACCTCCTGCATGCCCCCTACTGGGGATTGAGCTTGCAACCCAGGCATGTGCCCTTGACCAGAATCGAACCCGGGACCTTTCAGTCCACAGGCCGACGCTCTAGTCACTGAGCCAAACCAGCTAGGGCTTTTTAAATTAGGATAATTTCTTATTTTTAGGTAGGTAGGTAGGCAAGGAGTT